GCATCGTCAACCTCTCATCCGTAGCCTACAAACAAAACGTACCTTCCACCGGCATCGAGTTCTCAAAGCTCAAGACCAAAGGCGCAAACTACGGTTCCTTCTTCAGCTTCAACAAATGGGTCTGCTACGGCCAGTCCAAGCTAGCCAATCTGCTTTACGCTACTGAACTGGCTGCTCATCACCCGAGTATCACGTCTGTGGCGGTGCATCCTGGCTTTATCAAGACGGACCTTTTCGCGAGCACGAACTTTATGGATCGTCAGGTTGTGAATATTATCTCCGGCGGGAATTGGCTTGATACGGAACAGGGGGCGTATAACCAGACTTGGGCGGCTACTACCAAGAAGGAGAACTTGGTCAATGGAGCTTATTATGAGCCGGTGGGTGTGAAGACTATGCCGAGTACAAAGCTGGGGCGGGATCGGGCGTTGGCGAAGGAGCTGTGGGAGTGGACTGAGAAGGAGTTGAAGGTGTGGGTTTGAGACCTGATTGTCCTGTTAGTGATCTATTTCTTTGGCGGTGTAGCAATTCTTCCATCCATAGTTGCGCTTGTAGTTTCGTAATACTTAGACTTTCATCATTGCCTGCACAGCCTACGATACGCAGCAGGTGGCCTTGACGTTCGGATATCCCCTCCTGCTATCGGTACGCCTGAATACCTCGGTTCGTCATCTGACAGAAGTTTACGGATACTTTTCCGTGGGTAACATTATAAGTAGTGGTGTTCTCACCACCGCGGTAGTGGGTGTCGCAGGAAGCGACATTTCGACGTCCACGTTTGATCGGTGCTGCTACCTCCAAACTGGTCACCGTAGACCTTATCGATGGCAGCGATCGACAACGCACCAGAAGGTTTCCAAGGTGCTGGTAAACCGTTTCGCTCCACAACCCCATGGGGTAGTGGACGTTTTCGCGATCCGTTGGCCAACTTCCTTCGCTATTGCACCCGCCCACCAGGTGAACACGGCCGTGAAGCACGAGGACGACCCGACAAATTCTCTTGAGCACATGGCCTAAACGATCTCCACTGTGATCCTTCCATGGCACAGGCTCGGATGAGGCACCGCTGCATACCAGCCGCACCGCTTAGACGGCAACTAGCCATTTACCAAGAACCATCAATGCGGCGTCTCATTGTTTAGCATCACCAAGTACCGATAGACGAACCCGGTTTGCCCCGTGGAGAAACCAAGCAAAGTTGTGGGATATTCCTTTGTTGGATGATGGCCAAGACGATGAAGGCCCGGCGGACTGACTTGGCTCCGCGTTGATTGGCCGAATCCACAGCGGAAAGACTTTTAGCTCCTTCTCCTCAGCAGCGGCCTCGAGACGAAACCTCAGGCTAAACCGCAAACCAATCCCACCGCGGACTTGTGTCATCCAGAAACCTGGTGGGACCCATAAACCACGCACCGAAAGACCGCGTCTAACACCCCATCCGTGCGACAAGCGTGCACGCCATCTAGTTTCCCCGCAATGCAGCGCATGCTCAAGATCTTGGACCTGTCTCGGCCCCCTTGGCCTAGGCCCATGTGCGACGTTGGCCTCGACTGACAAGCTATGAAAACACTTGACCTCGCGCGACATGGCGCAACACCAAGATTTCGGTGGCTTGCCAATGTGCCTTTTCTCTGCGACAAGACCACGAAGACTCCAGGGTCGGGGCTGGGCTCCTCACCGGAACCAGTCACGAGTAGTGGGCTCGGAGTATCAATGCGACGTTCATGTCAAGAAAGAGTCTTGGTATTTTGCGGGTTACCTTCCCGGGACGAGGCACCGTATTTCGTGTCCTCATTGCGACGTCAGCCAGGATGTACTGCGGAGGAGGAAGAGCAAGGGATGGCATGATGGGAGCTGTCAACTCTATGCCAGAGTGCTACGTCCCTCGTTGAAGGCTGTACCAACACTACGTGAGCGCTTACTCCCCGCTGAACAGCAAAGTTCACGATGCGGGCACCACTAGACCGAACACGAGACCACCGACCACCGGCTCCGACATACCTGTCCTTGCCAAAAAACCGCCGGAGGCGGCAAAGCCAACCTGGCACTAAGCACGCCCAGCATCTAGGGTACGCCCTCCGAGCTTGTGTGCCGCACGTTTGCATATTCGCGATTCGGCAGAAGGCACAATGATAGTCAGTTTCCAAGACTAAGCCAGCGGGCAGACTTGCCTTCGGGGACCCCGCGACCCCATTCCCCCAGCGCCATTCAGCCTCAAGTGTGTCCAAGGCGGCCGGAAGAAGCGCGCTTACCATGTCTTGGAACGCATGCATGCGCGGAGGTACCTAGACAATTGTCGTGTGATTTCGGAACATCGCTTGTAGAGAAGGATCTGGGGCGAAGTATGGGATCCACCGCACTTGTGCGACGCTGAGGGCGGGGATGGAGGTGTATAAGAGTGCTACTCCACGTCCCCCGGATTGTTGATTTCCCCAGATCAACCAGCTCAGGCTTCGGTGATCCAACGGGCGTCTTACCCACACCCTTTACACCTCATACTCTTATCTTTTCAGAGAGGTTCTTTGAACAACCACCCATCATGTCTGAGAAGAAGAACGATGTCGTCATGCTCGAGCAGACGATGACTCGGGATGAAGAGCTCATGAAGCCTGTGCCCATTGTCGGCAAGGTGGATTACTCTGGTGCTTACGAGAAGACTGATCCCCGAGAGATTGCGCTTGTCAAGAAGCTCGACCGATGGATTATGCCCATGTTGTGGAGCATGTACTGGCTCAATTACCTTGGTATGTCACTCCTCTCTCACAGTGATCTTTTTGGAAGCACTTACTTACACATCGCTCTGTCTAGACCGCAATGCCATTGCACTGGCCCGCCTCGACGACCTCGAAGAGGATCTCAACCTCACCAGCGAACAGTACCAAACCTGCGTGAGCATTCTCTTCGTCGGATACCTCCTTGGCCAAATTCCCAGCAACATGTTCCTCAACCGAACCCGTCCATCGCGCTACATGGGCTGCTGCATGATGCTCTGGGCCGTCGTCTCCGCCCTGACAGCTCTTTCCAAGGACTTCACCGGTCTCCTTCTAACCCGCTTCTTCCTCGGTGTAACAGAGGCCCCCTACTACCCTGGTGCTGTCTACCTGCTCTCCATGTTCTACACCCGCAAGGAAGTCGCCACCCGCATTGCCATCCTCTACACCGGAAACATCCTCGCGACCGCCTTCGCCGGCCTCATCGCCGCAGGCATCTTCCACGGCCTCGGCGACGTCGCTGGCATCACGGGATGGCGCTGGTTGTTCATACTCCAGGGTGCTGTCACCTTCGTCATCGCCGTTGTTGGCTTCTTCCTTCTCCCAGGTAAATTTTCCGGCTGTACGAAGTGCATGTGAGACATATACTGACTTCGTACCTCCACCTCTACAGATTTCACGCACAACACATGGTGGTTGACACAAGAAGAGCGCGACCTAGCCACCAACCGCATGGCCCTCGACACCGTCGGCAACAAGGGCGAGACATCCGTGTGGGCTGGTTTCCGCCAAGCAGGCAAGGACCCCATGGTCTGGATCTTCGCTTTCATGGCTCACATGCATCTTGCCGCCAACGGGTTCAAGAACTTCTTCCCTACCGTTGTCCAGACGCTTGGGTTTAGCAAGACTATCACCTTGGTTTTGACCTGCCCGCCTTACCTCATTGCTGGTGTCGTCACGATTGCTGTCTCGTGGTCTTCTGGAAAGTTCAACGAGCGCACTTGGCACATTACTATTTCCAAAGCCGTTGCTACCTTTGGCTTTGGACTGGCTTGTGCTGAGATTGGTACTGCGGGTCGTTACGTCGCTATGATCATCTTCACCATTGGCACTTACGGTGTCAACTCGCTTATTCTGGGTTGGTGCGGATCGACATGCGGTCAGACGCCCGAGAAGAAGGCGGTTGCTATCGGTATCGTGACGACGGTTATGAACGCTTCGTTTATCTGGTAAGTTCCTCCACGCCCTTTCAACCCTTCCACCTTCATCACCTCAAAGAAGCTGTTGCTAACAAGAATATCAGGACACCATACCTATGGCCGAAGTCCGACGAGCCTCGCTACATCATCGCGCTCAGCTCCTCGGCTGCGTTCTCCATTATGACTGCGCTATTGGCATGGGTGGCGAAGATTCTCTTCACGCGCAAGAACAAGAAGCTCAGGGAGCAGGATAGCGAGAACATGACCTTCTACGTGTACTAAGCGTGCAGTGTAGTCATGAGTAGCACACAGCACGAGGGTGGAGAGAGGGAATCGGCTGGCAAGAGCTGGCGCAGATCAAATGATGATAGTACATTACGAGCCGAGAGCTTGTTGAATATGTATACATGAATGATGAATTGTTCAACTTCAAAGACTAGCCGATGGCATTGACGTGATCGCGCTGTGTGTGTTGTGATTCTGCCAGTACACCTTAGCCGTCCCAATTCTCCATCACTGAATTCCATCGACCCGCCCGCGAATGCGTCATAATGCCCGACCCCAAAAAGCATAACATTAATCTCATGATGTCAGCGAACACTGAGTATTCCCCCATATCTCACATGTGCTCATAGGCTCCAAGGCTAGCCCTTCCCCCATCCGAAAACCCCACTAGTCTACATTACCGCCATCGATGACATCACACGAGTCAGCTACACAGATCCACTGTCGCACGAACTCGAAGGCTTCTTGTACCTAATGTTATAGCGATACGACTGCGAAAAAGACAACTAAACAAATCCGACGGGCCAAACTAGAGTTGCAGCATTACTACACCTCTATCTCGCTACTTTCCATTGTATACTTTCGGACCTCCTCCCCATTGCGACTCATGACGAGCCATGAGATACTCAATAGATGGCATATTGCTCTCGCAAGGGCCGCACACGACCTCTGAGTCTGAGTCTGACTCCGACCCTCCCCGGCGCTGTTTGTCTTTCCTATACATATTCATGATCTCGTAATGCGGTGGGATATTTCTGTTCCAGGTCAGTATACGCAAAACGCCAGGAGATATACGCAAAACAACCTACCCTTTCTTATCCTGCAGCAGTTCTCGCCCAATTTCCATCAAGATTTCCTCGTTGTCCTGAGAATAACCTGCCAGAATTGCCTCCTTCCTACAAGCAAGACGGAGGGCATCGGAATAGCTGTATAGTCGCATTGCCGCGTAAGAGGCACCGTTGGGATTTAGTCTTTTCTCGAACGGCAGAGCCTTCAGATCATCTGTTTTCAAGCCGAGTTGTTCACCGCACATGGTTTTGGTAAGGCAATCGATTCCAATAGCATCGAGGGTGTTCTTGTCGTCGTCGTTCTTGTTGTTTGCAAGCCACTTTTTCCAATCTGCCTTCCCCTGCTTGTCCTTCCTTATCCTTTCTTCATTCGCGGCTTTCAGTCTGGCTTTTTCTGCAGCAGCTGCAAGTTCAGCTGGGGTCTTCGTCTTCTTCTTGCGTGATTTCCTGACTGGCGTGACGGGGTGTTTGGACTTCTTGCTCGCTCTGTCGGGTGTGAGAGGCTCAAAGTCACTCTCTTCGGGCGTGGCCGGGCGTTTGCGTTTCGATCTTTCCGCTGCTGTAGGGGAGGCTTCATGTTTAGCTTTGACAGTTGATGAAGGTGGAGTCAGTAATTGTTTTTGGGGTGGGGACGGCGAGGCGGGGTCCGCTTTGACGACAGGGTGTGATGTTTCTCCTGCCATTTTCGAATCTCGGTGACGAGGTGACATGTTGGGTGAATTCGAAAGAGAAGTTTCCGGGGTCTTATAGCAGCGGCGGTAAGACACTTCTACAATGTCTTTGGGAGAAGCTCAAGACATGTAAGACAATGCGATAAAGGTACTCAGGGAATAGAGACGTTGGAACAACTGTGCCGCTTTATCAACTTGCCTTCCAAGCAAGGGTTAGACTTGCTGCACACTGCGGGGTAAATGTACCAAAACAGTTGTCTTGGATGCCACGTCAAGATGCATCGAGATATTGGTAAACTACAATGACTAGCAATATCGAGATCCTTCGGTATGATTGTGGTGCACTAGTACGACACAACGATGGTAGCCCCCACGTCAAGGCTCCGGGAAAACACTTGCTCGCGAAAACAGGTTCACTGCACGAAGTCAAGAATAAAACTAGGGCTTTTAGATTATTGAGAGTCTAGTAGCCACTCCGGTTATGGTCATCCCCATACTTCTCGCACATCAACCTATCCTCCTCATCCTCGCGCATCCGCCTGAGTTCGTCTTGTCGCATCGATTCTTTGTAGCGTGCGATTTCCGCCCCGTTCCTTCCCCCTTTGGCGTACAAGAGGTTGTCGTAATTACTGGAGAGTGTTAGCATCATTGCAGCTGCTGTATACATCGGTCGCTTACCCTCTGGCGTGTTTATCCGCAAACAACTTCTTTCCTTTGGCAAGGAACTCTTGTTCGTTATCCTGTGGGATACCAGCGAGCATAGCTTCTTTCCGAAAGGCTAGTTTCCCGCAATCGTCCCATCTGTAGTCCTTCTGAGGCATCTGGTTGAATGCGTTCACGGAGGGGCGATGTGGGATGCACTTGAGCTCATCTGGCTTCAGGTCGAAGAATGCCTTTGCGTTTTTGGCATTTACATTTTTCCCCAGATCGCCTGAAGTGAGTTCCTCGTAGGTCTGGTTTTTGGATATCCAATCTTTCCAGTCCTTCTTCCATTGGGCGGCTTGCTTCTTTCGCTCTTTCTCGGCTTTCTTTGCATCGGCAGCTTCTTTTCTCTTGGCAGCGTTTGCGGCCTTGACTGCGGCCTCTTCCTCTTTCTTCTTGGCCGACGCGAGCTTCTTCGCAAGCGCTTCTTCGGACTGTGCTGGCTTCTTAGGCGTCCTTGGTCCAAGTGAGGCTTCAGTTTTCCTTGCTACCTTTGAGGGCATCTTCGTTTCGGTATCATCGTCGTCGTCCTCGGCCGGTCGCTTGAGGCTGGGCGTTTGCGCTTGTTCAGCTGGCTTCAGCGGCTTGACCGACGTCTCTTCGATACCCGTTACTTTAGGCCCGTGCCCATCGGAGTCTGGAGGGGGAGTATGGAGTTGCTGGCGGCTCTCCGTTGATGATGCCATCGCTGCATCGGAGTTCATGATGTCATTCAAGAGGGTTGAGTGCGAAGCTTGGGATAAACAGAAGGGTCAATGGCGTCAGATTGCTCAGGATACTAATGACGTTGGAAATTTGGGAAGTAAAGATGACAGGTACCAGATGTGGCATCAGAAAACATATATACCGCGCACTGCGTTCCGATCAAGAGACCCTGCAGCTGTGTCAACCTTATCGCATGGGGCTACAGGTGGGGTGGTGCCCGTGCCGGAGCCGTTTCCGTGGCTACGTCACCCCCACCTCATTACCCCTGATGTCCCCACCATGTACCCTTCTCGTCACCAACCCTGGAACCGCTGGCACCTATCTCGCTGATCTGAAACACGACATATGTGATTGTACTCGCATCTAAGATTTGAGCACCTCCAAAGCCTTCAGCGGATTAAGATATTGCCAGCACTACCTAGGTATGCTAGCTAGTGCAAAGATGTTGTCACACGGCTTTATCTGGGTATATCCCTTTTCCCGCCGATCTTGCACCGACGTCAGCGCAGCAAAATATGCTTGATCCCGTTATGAGTTCCAGTATGGAGATTCTGTTGCGACGAAAAGAACAGATGCGATTGAACAACTCACTTCCGCCCATAGTTTCAGCAGCAAAGCGATGAATTTCAGGTATCAGCGTCAAATCGATGAAAGCCTTGCGACAAATAGCAACAGCTAGGTGCCTACTACTACACACCGACGCAGGTTCAAAACAGGTATTCAAGCAACGAAAGAGAAAAAAATGATAAACCACGGGTATCGCACCACTCCCCCATCCATCAACTCAACTCCCTCAAGCTCTCCTCAACATTCTCCCAAGCCTTCGGCGACATAATCAAGCTCAGCCAATAACCCCCCGCATGATCCTTCCCCAAAATATGCACCAACAGCCTATTCGCCGGATTCGGTATCCTACTCGAGCAATGATGAAACGCAGGCATACCAGGCGGATTACTCCTTCCCTCACTCTCATCACCAGCCCTCACAACCGCAGGCCCAAAGTCGACAGTAGAAAAGAACTTGGCTTTCGACCAGTCGGTAAAAGGCACCAACATCGCATCCGCGTCACTGTAGAGAAGCGTCGATGGATCGCCGGAGATACGCTGCTCGCGAAGACTGGCAAGGACTTGGCCTTCGGTTGCTTGTTCGAGGAGGCGCTGGCGGTTGTGTAGAGCGATGGGACCGAGTGGGCCGGTTGCCATGTCTGGAGAGAGGAAGGTGAAGCCGGGGACGAGCATGTTTTGCATGTACATGCCCTTCGCGTTGATGAGTTCAGGAAGACGGAAACGAGCGTTCATTGCGTGGAGGGCGGTCAAGGGACGGGGTGATGGCAGAGAAGATGCGATACAGCGGAGTGTCCATGCAGTGAGCACATCGCCATCGCTGATGAACGGTGGTTTCTCGACTATACCGTCATCGTTCTCCTGCACAGGTAGGTCTTGCTCAGTTGCTACGCGCAATTTCGCCACGACGTCCTTTGGCAGGTAAATCGTCTGCGACTTTGGAGCAGGACCAGTAAGCATATCCCATGCGAACCTCGCTCCAAATTTGACCATACTCAGCCCTTTGAGCTGTTTGGCCTTGAGTATGTACTCCTCTGCCGGCTGAGTCGTGTTGTCAGTCAGTGCACGTAGCATGTCTTCCCGCGCCCCTAGTACAGGCGGCACTTCGGTCTCTTTTCCGGCTAATACCATCGACCACGCGCAGAGGAGGTTTTGGTTGCCAATTACATCCATCAAAGTATGGGGCCAGGAGAGTCCCACGAGTGTTGCGTTGGTAAAAGACGTGATGTGGACCGAAATTTGTGGCGTGTCTCCAGCGATCAAGTCCTCAAACGTCATGGGCGCGTCGGCGCTAGCGGCCAGGTCATTGAACTCCGTGGGTCCTGGACAGATCAAGACGGCTCTGTTGGCTTTGGGAAGCTTCTTGGCTAGGTCGTGCTCTTCGATGGGAGTGTTGATGGTGACATGGCTGTACGAGAAGGCGGGTCGCTCAGATGTGAACTGGCGTGGGACATGAATCTCCAATGCACCCTTGTTCTATCATCCAACATGTTAGCCGTACTGCTTCCACGCGAAATCAATCCGAAAGATGCCACTTACGTTGAGTCTCAAGCGTCCTCCAAGCTTCCTCCAGTCCCCATTTTCCAAGAGCTTTGCTAGAGAGGACCGGAGCCTATCCGCATCGAGAACATCGTTGAAGCAGAGTGTCCATGTAATTATGATGCTACGGAAAGTCTTCGTGTCGTCTAGTGTGTGTACTGGAAGGACGTCGTCGTCGGCATATGGGGTTGGTGTAGCATCTACTGCTGGGGAAGATTGCTTTTTGAATCGCTTGAGGAAATCCATTGCTGAGACGCTAAACTTGCGAACTGTGAAAGGTGCTCAACAATGAGTGTTATTTGTCAAATCTATTTACTTCTGCTCTGCTTTTAACACCGTATGAGAATCCCTGGCCAAAGTCGCGTTCGGAACACGGATTCGTGGGTAGCCGGAGAATATGTTATCGTCGTTGTATCAAAAGGGGCTCGCTAGATCGACGCCTCGTCTCCACCTCTGCAAGTAACTAGTCTCAGGTAAAACTAGCCGCACGTACCAACACGAGAAGGATTTCCGCCGTGCCACCGAATCTCTACAGGCGAGTCAAGAATACGTTCTTATCGTTGTGTCAAAATAGGGGCTCGCTAGATCGGCGCCTCGTCTCCCCCTGCGCAAGTAACCAGTCTCAGGTAAAACCAGCCGCACGTACCAACACAAGAAGGCCGAATCTCTACAGGCGATCGGACAACGGATACTAGCGATCCGCCTACGTTCCATGCGCTCCAAACCACGCATCGACCTCGTCGCCTGTGGCAAGCTCGTCGTCGTCGTCGTCGTGGATGGCTTCAACTCTGCCATGCCTGCGCCTGAACCGCCTTCCTCTCACCCGCGTCGCAGACTCATTCCGCTTCCGCAATGCCAGTCGCTTCGCAACTTCATTTGCCTCGACTAGACTGACCAGCTTCCTCTTCTGCCGTTGATTCTGCTCGGTAAACTCCTTGCAGACTTCCCACACCTTCGTCGTAGCATCGCGAGTGTCTCGGGACTTTTCGACGAAGGAGTCTGGACGTCGTGAAAGCACGTTGGTATTCACGTTCCCGATACCAAGATGTCTGTGACGACGATTTTGCCCTGCGTCGCTGGGAGGCGGAGGGTTGCTGAAGACCTCTTGAGCCAGATATGTATCCTCTGCCATTTCAAACGGCGTACGTCCTGATGCATTCTCACGGAAGAGAAGATCAGGACGGCATTGGAGCATGACGCGCAGGACTTGATCACAACCACGCCGTACGGCAAGGTGGACAGGCGTATCGCCCTCGCCATTGACAATACTGAGGTCGTCGCCTTTGTTGAGCTCGAAAAGAAGTTTGAGGATGTTTTCGTGGCTCTCCGAGTTATAGCTTGTTGAGTTGTGGGGAAGAGCGACGTGAAGCCAGCGTGCAAGAGGCGTAGCTGCGCCAGGAGCCGCCGTTGTGCGCTCAGTGAACAAACTGGAGAGAAGACGAGTGTCTATGAGCGCCAACAGCTCGCGGAGCTTTTCTAGGTTTAGCTGGTAGTTCAAATGCTTGTGCAGGATTGAGTGGATGATGTTCGCTCCAGTGTTGTCGCGTGTGGTTTGATCGGCACCAGCTTCCAGAAGAACCTTCACCATCTCGATACGGTGCTGAGAGAAAGCAAGCTGCAGAGGCGTCATGCCGCTCGCAGAACGATGTTCAATCGCCTTGGGATGAGTTTTGCATAGATGTCGAAGCAGGCTCACCGACTCTTCACCCTCCTTGCCCAGAACCACCGAATGGAGCAGTAGATGCGAGCGTAGGTCGAGCCACTTTGTGATGGACGACTGCAAGCCGCCTTGGGTCTTCGCCAAGTTCTGGATGCGGATATCGTCTCGATGACTGTCCGCAAACTCCATGTAACAGCGCGAAGCGGTGTCACTAGCGAACCACTCGACGCTCTCCAAACTTGTATAACGAGCGGCATGGAGTAATGGCGGGTGCTTCGCCCCAACTGCTTTCGTCTGGGTCTCTCTCCCTTCATTCGCCCAGTCCGCTCGCTTCCTGCCGTGAACCGATAGCCCTTGGTAGTACTTTGGCTTCACGGGTATCTCGATGCCGCTCTTCTTCACAAGGTCGTCCAAAGGAATGCCAGCCCCAGTGTTCTTGATGATGATTCCTAGCAGGCGGGTACGACTCAAGCGGATCGCGTACCAGAACTCGGCTTCGTCGAAACGGAAGAACCTCGGTGCAGTCTCATCGTCGAGTTCGGTGTTGTGTTGCGTGTACTCCTGAGCTCTGGCGATCAGGAATTGTAGTAGATCGGCATCGTCTAGATAGACTGCCAATTGGAACAGACTATGCGGCCGCACATCCTCGGGGATCTTGACGGGTACCGGGTTACCACTAGACGAGTCCAAAGGCGGTTGACCACGGAGGCTGCTTGAGAGCTCTGGGTGTGGAAGCCAGGGTGAGACCGATGCAGCATCGTGTTCGAGAAAACGGAACGCCGGGCACGTCCACGACATCATCTTGAGTGGCGTCACATTGCTTTTGACTTGACTCTGCACCTCTCCAATGTTCTCAATAGTGAAGCAATCATCCACAATCTCAGCGTAGATCTCGAAATCATCCTCACCATCGTCACTGCTACCGTCGTCATCATCTCGGGGCTGGAGACTGTGTTTGACCAATGGCTTCTCTTCGGGCACATATTGCGCATGTGCAATCTCCAAGACAGCACGAGCGATTCCATAGTGCTTCCGCAGAATGGCGATAGAGAACGGCGAGTAATCCTGCGAGTTCTGAACAGCGATTTGCAGGGGAGTCTGATTATCTCCCCACATCGACAAGGTAAGCTCTTTGATCGTCGGAAGATCGCCATCCCAGCAGGCTTGGAACAACTTGAGGTAAGCTTCCCGTCGTTCGTCGGTCAGGTCAGAAAGCCGGAAGGTGAGCAACGGATTCCACGGCTTTGGAGGGTCAGGTCCATAGCTACCATAATTGTACTGTTGTGGTGGGGGTATCCTGATTTCGGTATCTGGATGCAGCTCTTTGAAGGTCTTCGCCTGTCGTCTGAGCAGCTCTGACTCCAATGCTTCGAACTCTTTCAATAGCGCCTGGACAGCCGACTTCTTCTCACTCGTACCCTCGGGTTCTTTCTGAGATTGTTTCCACTTCTCGTGGCTCTCCAAGTCTTGTTCGTAGATCCGTTTGGCGCTGTCGATCTGATCACTCACCATCCAATGAGCGTAGGTACCCGGTTCGAGTCCTCCAAGATATTCAGTATCTTCCTTGAGCGGTACTGGGGCGAATTGCTCGGACCGCCGGTAGTTATCAATGCGGTCCACCCAGCCTTCGGAGCACAACCACCCATCTTGGCCATCAACTTTGCCCTTCTCGATAAAGGTCTGTAGTTTTCGCACATTGTACCGAACAATATCCAAAAGGGTGCCCGTATCGTTGTCGTGTGTGTTGTTGCTTTTGTCCAGCGCGCACCAAGCTTTGGGAGTAAGACTGTTGATGTCTGCTCCAGCATCCAGAAGCTTCAAGACTATCGACAATGCCTCATAACGAAGTGCAGTAAATACAGGCTGCTCGACGTTTTCTCTGAACGCTTTCTGGTTGCTCTCGGCAGTGCTGTATGCCGAATGAAACCCCTTGTTTTTCGCAACGGTAGAGTAGGTGGCGAAGTCAAGCTCAGGCTTCGCGCCCAGCTCTAGAAGTGCTTCAACTCCAGCGGTATCACCATGTTCAATGGCTGTCTTCAGAGGACTGTTCACGTTGGGTCTGAACGAATAGCCACTCAGCGATAAGTGATCGGCGGCTTGTTGCGCCGCAGGCCTGTTTGCGGATATCAAAGTGGTGAGCAGATCGGCACCATGCGCAGCAAAGTAGTGCAACGCTGTGATGTGGCTAGTGTCGCCCTGTGCAGGCGATGCACCTAGGCTGACGAGTAATCTAGTCATGTCCTTGGCCTTTTCAGGCGAGAGCTGTAAAGCGAGAACGGTTGGCAGGATCGCCGCGCGCGGGGACTTGTTGTAATCATTGACAAGCTTGACCGGCAGTAGTACATCGGCTCCAAACTCCTGAACGAGAGTCTTTACGACGTCGGTGTGACCATTTGCAATGGCCAGGTGGAGCGCAGATACCGGTGCGTCCCAAGCGACTACGTTGACGTCGTATACATCGGGCTCGTCGTCATTTGCATCATCTGGGAGGTTATCGTGGTCTTCTGACTTTTTGGGGTCTATCTTGATGACAGAGCCTTCAGTAGTCGCATCGGCATTATCGGACTCATCATCAAGTAAATCGACGTCGTCATCCTCATCGTCGTCGTTCTCGCTGTCGTCATCGGAAGCATGTTCCTCGGTGTCGTTGGTACTGGTAGCATCTGGTGTTTCCGGGAGGATCTGGTTCTTCTTCTTAAGAGCTTCTTTCTCTGCCTCTTCTTCTTCGTTGGCCTCACTCTTGATGAGGAGAGCTCTGACCATCTCTACCTCACCGCGCATGGCAGCAAGATGGAGCGCGGTCTTACCATCGAAGATGCGAGCGACGATACGGGCTCCAGCATCGACGAGAGCTTGAACGACCTGCGGAGTTGAGGTCATGACCGCCAAATGAAGTGGAGTACGCCCAGTGTAGTCCCTTCGGTTGGGATCAGCACCCTCTTGACTGAGCCAATCCCGGACATGCTCGAGATCTCCGTCCACTATAGCCTGACACAGTCGCGCTGTATTGCCGACATATGCCATCTCGGTCCAATCATCATCAGTCAGAGGGTGGAAAGACCCAATTGCTTGCCGTCCAGGGTTATCTTTGATGAAAGACAACGTGCCAGATACATAGAGCTTGCTTTCCTCAGCCGCAATCTCCAGATCTTCAGGTGTGGTGGGCTCGGGACAAAAACCACAACAGTCCCCAATCACATCGATTGCGTTCCCAAAGAAGGAAGGGTGTCGATGTAGTGTGGTCTGTCGATCCTTAGGTCGGTTCCATTCAGCGTTGAGTAGCAAGTCTTTCGCGAAGAGTAACCTCTCAATCTTCCGAGCATGGAACTTCGGCCCGTATGGGATGGTGAAGGTATGGTAATCGCTGACCTCATCAGTCTCTACCCATTCGGCAACATCTTCGTCATGCTGTTGCTTGATGTCGCCTTTGAGCTTCTGCGTGGCCCAACGATTGATGGCGGGTCTGCCACGTTCAGCACGACGCTGATCAACGTATGCGTCACGGTCAGTGCTTTTCGGCAATTTCTCAAGTACTAGCAACCTGGCCAGTCCGAGAGTGCGACCGAAGGAGCGTTCGAACAGCGTGGGATCAATACGCGACCGATCAAGGAGCGGCCAGTAGACTTCGAAGCCGCGGCGTGCATACTTGGACAATCGGTTTTCGTATGACGGGGAGCGACGTGTCAGGTCGATGGTGTTGATCTGCGTCATGTATGCAGCGATCGCACGAGGACTGGCGTAGACTTGCTTGCCATCGTATGCCGCACAGGAACAATCAACATCGAAGCCTGTGAGAATCTCGGAAATAGATCTGTAAATTCGCAGGACAATCTGAACGTGACGAGTGGGATACTGGGAAGCGATGGTAATGGCGTTCTTGGTACGGACGGTGGTTGTCTCTGTCAAGATGGAGTCTCTGATGCGTTGTTCAATCTGCTTGATCTTCTCAATGGCTTGCTCTTCGGTAAGGTCGTAGAGGAAAAGATCGACATCCGAAGCCGGGGCCAGTTTCTGATGATAGTATTCGCGTAGGGCGCGCTTGGAGCCACTATGTTCCTCTGGAACCGGCAGCAACGAAGTTACAACAGCGCTACCTGCGACCACCACATTGGACCAGTCCATGTCAACAAGCGATGACTCGGAAAAGAGCTGGAAGTTGGTCTGGAACTCATTGAGTGATTGCACAACCGCCGGAGAGCCAGTCGGCTTGCGGTCCTCCTCGTCGAGAGGCATGAGATAGCGCTCACGCTCAGCCTCGGATTCATCCTCGGGGTTGCGAGCGCGGATCTTGAGTTCACTTTCGCGGCCTGCGAATATGGGAAGGATGTTGGGCTCGGCAATAGCGGGGTGTTCTGGTTGCTGAGCGAACACCTCGCGCAGCTTGGAGTCATATTCCTTGTAGGGTTCGAGCAAGGTGTGCAGTGATGTCTCTGGATGGGCTGCGACATGAGTAATCCAGTCGGTATGACGAACTGGGACTTGAGGAAGGTCAATCATTGTCGATACCTGCTTTTGGGTTGTGGTTGAAATGGCGTTGTGAGAAGTGGTAGAAAGCGCGTGTGTTGGAATAGAATTGAGATGGTTGAACAAAATGACTGCTGAAGACGGAAAAACGACGGATTATATATCTCCTTCAGCATTGGGATCTCGTTCGTGCTTGATGATGGCAGCCTGTATCATGATGGAGTTGGATGCTGCAGCGGTGTGGCGTGTTGAGGCAAAAGAGGGTCGAGCTAGGCAACGACGCGCCGTGGCCCATTTTAGCGACGGGAAGACGTGTTTGGGGACCACAGCAGCCTGACGAGACAGGCAGCAGCGAATCATGGTTAGCAGCGTGTATTGAGTCCAACGCGAGCTGCACACGAGTTCATGTGATGCATGACGCGACGGATGTGACAAGTGAGGGTAGATCTCAATGAGGTGCTCGAGGTTTGCCACGAACACGCTTGTGCAAAAGAAGGATAGCGCAGCCAGCGGCTTGGCACCCCCCGCTGGCAGCAGCGAGATCTCGCCATCTTCGGCATCATCATGTTCCACACGTTCTCGATACCGGCACCACTTCTACGTCCAATGGTACATGGCTCTGTCACGCCTTCGAACAACTCACACAGTTTCTACTCCCTGATCGGCGAGTACAGCGAAATCTGCCCAACGAAGAACATGATAATCGTCAGAGCCGCAACAGCCGTGAAAACTATCGCAACCTATCATCAAATCAGCCTTGAAACCTTCCAGATTCGCCTCGCCTGAGATCATACCTTGTCCCCATCGTCTAATCCTCCAGAATTACCCAAATTCGACGTTGCACTCCACACGAGCAGAAACATACCCACAACCATGCAGATAGTCGCGGATATGAGAAACATGACTGGCATCTGCCAAGTCAAGACCTGGACAAGGTTTGGCGCACGACGACCCGTTCGTTTCCAGCGACTTCCTTTACCAAGTAGCTTGTGAAGATTGGCGAGGCCATCGCGGTGCGACGAAAGCCGATGTAAACGAACGGTCTGGTCGGCTGCGCTGATGATGGAGAGCATTGTGATGATGATGCCACAGTACCACGATGTCCGGACATACCACGGAGTGGGCCTGCCAGTGGTGAGGATATTCGGCCAGCTGCCTGTCGAGGTAAGGACACCCGCAAGCAGGGCGGACTTGACGATCGTCAGCGGTGCGGCATCATCAATGGATACAGTACTTACCACGACACCAACAAAGTTCAGCTCGCTTAGCTTGTTGTCTCTCCATTTTTCGACAAGCTCATCTCTCTCGCTTTGGTCATGCGTGTTGAGCAAGATTTCTAAAGGGTCATACGTTGAGGGGTCCGGTAAGAAGATGCCACCGCCGAACATCTGCGGTGCGCAAAAACAACTGCTTTGCCGCTTGCGTTTGTTGTTCGACGTCTCTGGATGTAGGGGTGGCTGGGTAACACCATTCGATCCTCGGTCTGCTGCTCTCCATTCGACATCGTCCGGTTCCCGGGAAGAAGAGGTACGGAACATGGTTGACTCGGTACGTGAAGGATCAAAGATGTTGTGGATATGGGCAACAGTGGCCTTTACTGACTAAATCAAAGGTTTGCCAGAAGAAAACAATGCTGCGGTGTTCAAGAGGTGTTCGCCGATTATGACGCACATCGCGCCGCTAACTGTAGCGTCGCAATGCAGCCAAGTCTACCTACGCTGCGCACATCAACAGTCATGCAGGACGCTTAATCGCAACAACGCAAGCTTTCAAACAAAGTCTCGATTGTAATTACAGACCTCGGCTACACATCCACTGCGTTCCAGCACCCTACAGCCAGCTTAATGCATGACCACAGCGACATGATCGTCCATGTACTTCGAGATATCGCCCAAGAAGCATGCTGCGATGATGCTGACTCCGCCAAACGCTATGCTCACGTAGTACACGTACTTGTACGCCTCGGCGTACGCGAGCTGACCAGCGTACACGACCAACTCATACGCACCCGGCACGTCCTTGATACCCGGAAGCTCATGGAGAAGCGGGAGAAGCGATCCGCCGGTAATGGCGATTGCCTCTCCGATGATCTCAGGCGATGTGATGTTGAGCTTGGTCACCATTGCGCCGCCGATGTAGTGGGTTGCGGCGGGAACAAATTTGGAGATGAAGACGTTGTAGTACACGCAGTATCCGATCGAACCACCAATGACGCGGATGGCAAGGGTAAGAGCAGCGATTGTTGCGATCAGGTCGTCTGGGCAGATGATAGTGGCTGACGAGGTTAGTAACGCGTTCGACGATCAACGCGACGTGAAACTTACAGATGATGGATGCGGGCACAACGATACCACCAATGCCGAGACCAGCGAGAACCAACAATCCCCACAGTTGGTACAAGTTGTCCACACGGCCGATAGAAAGAGCACCGCAGCCTGCCGTCATCATGATCGACGAGACGATCAAAAGCTCCTTGTTGTGACCGCGGAGCAAAGACAGCAACCACAGCACAATACAAGCCCCAGCCAGAATCGAAAACCCAACAGGAATACCCCGGATACCAACACCAACAGGATCATGACCATAAACGTTGAACGCCTGCGTCGGCCAGAACATGAGGATCGAGAAAAAGTTGGCTCCAGAGATGAACGTAATAACAAGTGTCAGCCCAAGAATCCGGGGCTCTTGACGAAGTCTCTTGGGGAACATGGGATGTTTGGCTCCGTAAGCTTCCCAGAAGACAAAGGCAACGAGGAAAGCGACGCCCAGGATCAAGGGCGCGAGCACGTGTGCGCTGGACCACTTGTACTGGTAGCCACCCCACTGCATACCCATCATGAATAAGATCATACCGGCAACAGACAGGAAACCGCCGATGTAGTCGATCTGCGCGAGAACCTCTCTGCGGCTCATACCCACGCTGTTGACGCGGGGAGGAGGGTGGTAGAACACGAAGGTCAAGACGAGACCGATGAAAGCCCAGAGACCTAAGATTGTCAGTTCCCGACTCATGCGTTGTTTAGATAACAGGGAAAAGTTCTTACCACACCACATCCCAATCCACCTCCACGCCCCCGGACTCTGACTAGCAATAAGCTGCGCCCAAAGCACACTCGGACAAAACGGCAAAATCGTAAACACCAAAATAGCAACATACTTGCCCCTCTGACTTGTCGGCGCAAGCTCGCTCGTCACCGCCAACGCCGTAAGCTCGTTGATGCCCGCGCCCACACCGCTAAACACCATTCCTGCAATGAAAATATTCATGGAATGTGCGGTTGAGCAGATGATCATGCCGAGGATCAGGAAGCACGCGCCGATCATGGCGACCCACCGGCGGCCGACAATGTCGGAAATGGAACCGACGAAGGGGCACACGGCGGCGAGGGAGAGCAGGTTGGCCAGGATAAACCAGATCCAGCGGTCGGTGCCGCCTATGTCGGCGTAGATGTAGGGGGGGACGCCGCCGAAGAGGTAGACGGGGATTTGGCTGCCTGTCCATACTATCGTTGTTGTTAGCGAGGGAACTCCAGTGTGTAAGTGTTTGTAAAGGGTTCTACGCACGGAACGCCATAGCGACCAACGCCATAAGTCTCTTGAAGTTCATAGGCTGCTCAGCGTCGTGGTCCTCGCCGTCGCCGGCTGTGCGCAAGCCATCTTTTTCGTAGTAGTTGGTGTGACCGGGGACTTGCTCGTTGGTGTGGATTTGCTCGATGTGGTTGAAGGCTGGTTTGGACGCTGAGGGGGAGTGGTCTGAGATATCTATCCTGCTGCATCAGTACATGTGTAGGCGGATGTGGAGTTGGGGTGTATGGTTACGTACCAGAGCCATCGCTGTGGTCCCGCATCGTGTTCTTCTTCATAGTCTACGTATGGAGACGGCCGTCGTAGACAGGAGTGTAGACTTTGAACAACACAAACGAAAGTGTTCGCAAGACTGACTGACACTTCGTTTGGAGGCTCAGCGGGGCTCTTATGCATCCATGTAATCGGAACTCACCCTTGCCTTCACCACGCCCCCCTACCAGGGCCGTCCATCACATTCCCCACCCACGACTCAGTCTGCGGGGTATTTCCCACCTAACATCCAGCTAGTCCTCACATCGTCCCTCTTCCTCCCTTTCCCTCCATTATCCCCCTTCACACTAGCCCCCAGATCCGTGGTCTAGCCCATCCACCCACCATCCCCATCCGCGCATCTGGATTCGCTTCTCGCACCACATCCGCGGTAACTTTTTTTCTAGTGTCTAGTATTATTTTAGAGGTATTAGGCATTAGGATATACTAATTAATTTATCTAGTCTCTATAGCATAATCTACTAAATTCTCTATATATTCTACGCTTTTATTTTTTAATCTATTTACTAGTTAGCTTTTTTTTTAAGCTTATAGTCTAAGTACTTAGTAAGTCTAGTAGTTATAAACTTTATTTTTTAAGCTTATAAGTAACTATAACTTAGTATTAAGTATAGAAAGTATAACTTTATTATTAAGTATAATAATAGTATTTACGTAGAGAGTCTTAAGTGTAGTAATCTTTTTAAGTATAAGTAATCTAATATTACTTAAGTATATTAACTATAATTTACTTAAAATAAATATAAAGCTAATATAAATACTAATTATAATAATTAAGTTTTTATATTAGATATATATATCTACTAAGCTAATAATCTTAGTATATATAAATTAAACTTATTACTTAAAGTATAAGCTAAAGTTTAATACTTATATAGTAATAGTTTTAAACTTATTAGTACTAAAGTAATTAAAATTAGTAAAAGTAGTAAATACTATAGTAAATAGTAAATATAATAATAATAGTAGAAATTTTATAGTAATAGAAAAAAGTTAAGTATAGTGCGTATAAAATTTTTACTTTTAGAAATAGGTAACTATAGTATTATAAAATTTATACTTATAGTTTAGCTACTTTTACTTTTTTATAGAATATATATTAAACATTACTACTTAAAACCCTAATAGACACCTAGTGGCGGTAACTTTCCCTACTTTCTAACAAGTCCAGCTGTCACCCCCAGCTTCCGCCACGTTAAGCAGCTAGCCTATCACTTCCTTCCGTTCCATGTCCATGGGACACCGGGGGAAGTTATGAATGGGGTTAGCGTGGCTGGTAGTGTGTATGTACCCCGCAATTGCTTGGTCGAGCTTGTCGCAACAAGCAAAGAAGCGGCTGAACAAGCTTTTGGCGAGGTTTGTCGATCTGCCCGGGCGCTTCAAAAACCTGGGGATGGGGAAAGGTTCATGGGCATGGGACAAACGGGGATCGGCGGGGGACGGTGGGTTGGTAATGGTGAGATGGTGTGGTGCGGCGATTCCGTATGTAAGGAGAGGGCATACACGACACGGACATGACCTGAGGACCTCGGGACTTTCTTCACTCGCTGTCTCGCTCTTCGCTCCTCGCACAATACACCTCCGCGCGGCTTTCCCCTTCGGTCCTATTCGCGCGGAGAAAAGTCCGCGTTGGATACCTACAGGGAAGCATGGGCTTGACCTGCCGTATAGATGCATGGTCTCTAGTCCCGTGAGCTATGCTCGCTCTCGCGTATGTACGATAGCGACACCGGAGTGGATGCTTGATACGCCACAAGTACGGCTGTTCGGCTACAGGGTCATGCAGACTGTGTTCTTGGTTCGAGTTGCCTAGGTAGAATGAGAGGATGGGAGGGCTTGTTGGAAGGCGACTGCTGGGCTTTTACTGAGGTGGATTTGCGCGCTGATGTGGAGATGGATATTGCTTGCTGGTTCGTTGTAGCACTATCAATGTAGTTACTTCGGTAAGGGAGGTAATGGCACCTATCATCTCAGCCCATCCATCTCCAAGCTCACATTATCCGCTCTCGAACCATAAACGCCTCCATCCAAGATCCACTGCTCATTATCATCGTTATCATCCTGCACACGACGCCACGTCTGCTTCCTCCCACTTTCACCCGCATTCTCCTTGCCTTTACTCTCCTGCACCTTAATAGTCGGCCTAATCAGTCCACCCAACAGCGGATTCTTGCTAAATGCCCCGCTCCCACTCGATAGCGTATTCCCATCTCGGGGCCGTTGAGTTGGTTCGGGTGGCTCATCTTCGCTCTCGGGTGTAGCCGGCCTCTCGGTAGCAGCCATGCGCTTGACAAGCTTCTTGCCAGAGAGGTCGATACTAGCGACTACTTTGCGCTTCTCGTATTCTGGGCGCGCATTCCAGTCTTGCTCGCGTAGGGCCTTTTGCTGGCGCTTGAGCTGCATGGCGCGTTCTTGGGGGCTGGCCCACATGCTGAGGCCGGCGGTTGTGGTTTCGAAGTCGGCGGCTTCGTCGTGGACTTGAGTTCGTTTGGCGTTTTGGGCTTGGAAGGCGAGCAGCTTGTCTCTGTGCTGTTTTGCTTTTGCGAGCTTCTCGTTCTCAGACTCGACGTCCGAGGCGGGATTGGAAGATGCGGGTGTTCCTGTGCGAGGTGTTGAGAACGGGCGTGGTGCGAGCGAGACATCGGCACGCTTTTGGCCCGCGTTGTTGGCGGCCATCTTCTCTTTTCCGCGCTCTTCGCGGAGAACGCGCACCATGGATTGGATGTCTTGTGCACTGAACAGAGCTGAGTTGCAGAAGGTGCATGGGCCGATGCCTTCCTTTACGCAGATGATCTTTCCGCAGTTCAAGCAGTTTGGCGCAGCTTCGAGCAAAGGATGTCTGGTGGCCATGCAATTGCATTTCCGTTTGCTGTTGTCTTGTGGGGCAAGGGTAGGGTTCGTCTGAATCTCAAGTGCTCTGATTGCGGACTCCAGATCATTGAGTGCCGTCGAGGCACCATGCATGGGCGTGCCACCAGTTACATTAATCTTTGCCTTGGCCTTTGGTTTGGTCTCAGAGATAAGTTGGCCTGGAAGTTTCTTTGCTGGTTGCGGAGCAGGCGAGACACCACGGGATTTGGGGGTTGATGTCCCCGATGACGTAGTGAAGGTTGGTAATTGCAACCCGTCAGGTTGTTCTTGTAAGCCGAATTTAGCAGCCTTGGGCTTTGAGCTACCCGCCATGTAGTCTTGTTCATCTTTTTTGAGATATGCACCAGATACGTTGCCATGGTCCTCTACTTGTCGCGGTGGCGGAAGTTTGTTCAAACCGGGTTTCTTCTTCTTTGGCTTCGCCCTGGGTACTTCTGACATGCCATTTGACACTTGGGCCTGACCAGAGCCGCTGGAAGGCTTCGGCTTCCTCCGGTTGTTGAATGAAGAGATAAACTCAAGTGCTTGCGGGCTGTCGCCTAAGAAATTCTGTAGATGGTCCGCTGCTTCTTTGGGCGATAGTGACTCAGTATAGGATATTAGTTGCTTCAGTGACTCATCGTCTAGAGGAACAAGCTTCGATAGCTGGGGTAATGCCCAGTTTGAGAGATCCATGTTCTTGTTGATGGGGTTGTGGTCGCCGAATGTTAGAATAGGTTGTTAGATGTGAATCATCACTCTGAGCTAGTAGCTGTGGCGCGATATGTGGCTGGTGTGCGGTCCGTGCCTCAAAGTTCACATGGAATTCCAGCTCGTGGGGAAGCTGCCATCACAGTCCTCATACCCTCAACTACACATTCACCATGGCTACCGATATCGCGCTCGATACCACTATTGTATGTTCGTCTTTGTAAATGAATAACAACCTTACTAATCCAACCAGGGCACCATTGTCATCGAACTCTACAACGACCACGCGCCCAAGACATGCAAAAACTTCTCGACGCTCACGCAGCGCAACTACTTCAACGGCCTGATCTTCCACCGCATAATACCAAACTTCATGATCCAAGGCGGCGACCCCACGGGTACTGGACGAGGAGGTGAGAGCATATATGGCGACAAGTTCGAGGACGAGATCAGCCCCCAGCTCAAGCACACCGGTGCAGGCATCCTCAGCATGGCCAACTCCGGTCCCAACACCAATGGCTCCCAGTTCTTCATCACATTGGCGCCGACTCCGTGGTTGGACGGCAAGCACACCATCTTTGGAAGGGTCAAGAGTGGAATGCAGATTGTAAAGAAGCTGGGCTTGGTCAAGACGGACAAGGAAGACCGCCCTGTTGAGGAGGTCAAGATTGTCAAGGCATACCTCGTCGACGACGGCGCGATGGCGATGCAGCGATACTAGCGCGGGGGAACGGGATCAGCCAGGCGTCGACGCGATCGCATGACAGAGCGCATCAACGCGACACTCAATGCTTGAACGTGAGTTACTCGAAAATGGAATGTAGATTAATTACTCATACGTCCAACTAGTTCAAAGCTCCGTTCGGATGGATCAACACCTTCGTATACCCCTCGATCCTCTTGTCAAACTTCTCGTATGCCGTCGGCGCGTCGTCGATGTTGATCTCGTGCGAGACAACGAAGCTCGGCTTAGCCTTGCCCGATACAATCATGTCGCGAAGATACCTGTTGTACGCCTTCACATTACACTGCCCGGTGCCAAGATGCAAGCCCTACGGTAGTCAGTGGTGGGTACACAACTTCGAACCACGAACATACCTTTTCGAAGAGCTTGCCGAATGAGATGAGAATTTGGCCCTTCTTGCTCTGCTCGTCGGGCGCTCCAGGGTCGGCCGGCACATACAAACCTGGAATACCCAAACCACCCGTTGGCCGGGTCACCATGATCAATTGGTCGAGGACAACGTTTGGCTTCTCCTTGCTACCAGACGCGTCCACGGCTTGATAACCTACCGCGTCGACAGCGCGATCCACCATACCATCATTGAGCTTGATGATCTGCTCAACCGGGTCGCTCTTCCTGAAGTCGATAGGGATGCATCCAATCTTCTCCGCAGCTTGCAGTCGCTCAGGCACTGTGTCGACTACGAAGACCTTGCTCGCGCCTCGTAGGATACCGCTATAGGCTGCCATGAGACCAACAGGACCTGCACCGAACACCGCGACGCTTTCGCCGGACTGGAAACCAGCGAGGACCAGCCCATGCCAGCCTGTTGGGAATATATCTGCTAGCAGTATGAAGTCGGCTTCGTGCTCGGTTCCTTTGGGCAGCTTGAGGGCGTTGAAGTCGGCGAAGGGGACGCGGAGGTATTGCGCTTGGCCGCCTTGATACGGGCCCATGGCTACGTAGCCGTAAGCGCCACCGGCGAAGCCTGGGTTTACTCTGTTCTATTGTTAGGACAGACGGTCGATAACTCGATTGACGCTCGACCTACCCGGTACAGAACGCTGTCTTGCCCTCCTCGCAATTGCGACACCTGCCGTCGGCGACATTCTACAATCCATCGCGTTAGCCCTCCGCCATCCACACTACATCTCAATGAAACACTCACAAACGGCAACACAATCCTATCCCCCTTCTCCAAAAGCGTCACGCCGGCACCAACCTCGATAATAGTCCCCATGTTCTCATGACCAAACACCAGACCCGCCTCCGCAGCCGTCCGTCCCTGATACATATGCAAGTCCGACCCGCAAATCGCCGCCGTCGTAACCTTGACAATCACATCATCCGGATGCTGTATCGTAGGCAGTTCGACGTCCTTGACCGAGACTTTGAATGGACCTTCGTAGTGCACTGCTTTCATCTTGTCGTTGGACATTTTGGGGGGTTGTTGCGCGTCGCGTGCGAGTAGTTTCAAGGGTGCAAAGATATGAGATACAAGGAGTTTGTTGCGATGATAGAACGAGATGCGCGTATATTGTCAAGAGGAAAAGTCGCAAGGGACAAAAGGCGCGTTGATCCCACAACGGAACCAGACCCAGTCTATGACATATGACGACCCCTCTTCTTCGGTACTTGCAAGCTTGCCCAGGTGCGATAGTTGGGACCAGAAGCGTCTGGCTGGCGTCATTATTGAGGGGCTGACAGCGGAGAGAGGGTCGATCAAGTGTGGGGTACGGGTTCCGAGTCGGAAAGGGCGCTTCGGAAACTAGCTCGTCGCGCGAAGGAATGCTCATGCTATCATGTCTGTCTTTCGCGCTTGACGCTGAGGGTCTTTTCGCGAGGGCGACCTTGCTTGTGTACATTGGGAGATGGATATTTGGTAACGGTGGTTTGCCAGATTCGTCCGGAGTGGTCGTCTCCATACACACTCACGCTATTATCTCATAATTGACCGGTCCCTGGGCTTCGCGCTTGAGCGTAAAGTCTTTTCGCGGGTAGATTTGGCTGCTCACTTCGGGGATTGGGTGTTGCGTCGACCTCATCTTGCTTGTTCAATAACACATCTGCTCATGATGGAAAAGTAACGGTAAAACTCTTGAAAGACCCTGATCAAGGCCATACATGTTGCAAGGAGATTGCTAGTACCCATGTAAGAAGGGATATCACGAGCGACAAAAAGAAGGTGGTACTCCGGTGATGCGACGCAGATGAGCGACTCACGACTTCCGAGCCCCGTATGTACCCATTCCATCAGATCCTCTCGTATTAAGAGAGCTATCGTCAACACGAGAGCTTGCGACGAGAAAGGGACGTTTATAGATGATTGTCCTGTTGGATTCGTGGTGCTTGCTCGTCCAAAACGATACACCACGAAACAACATTCTGGGGGGACCTCTGACCTTGCCTCTGACGGTTCACGAGGAAAAATGTACTGCAAAGATCATTCCCACGTGCAAAGCGAATCGTGGCGCTGTAAGCGATAGGCAACAACAGCAACCATTCGCCTGTTTACGCGCTTCGACCCCGCATCCTGCCTTGTCTCAGCCTTCCCATTTCCTTCATCACGATGTGACCATCCTCTCGCGCAGAAGGGAACGGACTTATCGTGCCCACTATGGAACCGAGCACAGCGTCGACGGGAAGACCTCGGTATGGAAAGGGACTTGCGCTACTTTCACTAGACGGCGGAGGTATCCGTGGTCTGTCGTCGCTGTACATTTTACAACGTCTTATGGAGCAGCTGGATCCCGAGAACCCACCAAGGCCTTGCGAGTGTTTCGACCTTATCGGTGGCACGTCTACGGGCGGACTCATTGCACTCATGCTAGGGCGCCTGCGTATGACGGTCGCGGAATGCATCGATGCATACCACGAGCTTATGCCGGCTATCTTTGAGAAGGCCAAGCACCGCTACTCTATCAGCAAGGGTAAACTCCAGGGGAGATACGATGGTAAAGCTATAGAAGAGGGGGTTAAGCGCATACTCATGGAACGTAATATTAGACCAGACGAGCTTCTCAAAGACCCCGGCTCCACATGCAGAACGTAAGTGGGCCGCAATTTCTACAGTCTTTCTTCAGCTAATAGCTCAGATTTGTCTGTGTAACCAGGAAGACCGGTTCACAGATAACGCTTTTCTCCAATTACCCCATACAACGCCGATCGCGAGACTTGTACAACGCGGTGAAGATATGGGAGGCAGCTCGTGCTACTTCAGCCGCGACAACCTTCTTCGAACCCATCAAGATCCTCCACGAAGAGTTTGTGGACGGTGCCTTTGGTGCGAACAACCCGATCGACGAAGTATGGACGGAAGCTGGTGACATATGGACACGCAATACTGGAGAAACACTAGAAGATAACATAAGTTGTTTTGTGTCCATTGGAACTGGTATACCGGCTTTTGGAAAAGTTGACGAGTCACTCGTTGGTATGGTTCAGACGCTGAAAGCGATAGCTACCAACTGTGAGAGCGCCGCCGAGAGATTTCAACGACACCATCCTGCGCTCGACGGGCGTTTCTTCCGTTTCAACGTGCCAAGAGGTCTTGAGAATATAGGGCTGGAAGAGATCAACAAGGCAGGCGACCTCATCGCTGCTACCAGACAGTATCTAGAGTCACAATCGGCTTTCCTCGATATCGAAAAGTTCCAGTCGGCCTTTCAGCAGCGACAGCGTACGTACCCTACGGAGCAGAGGGAAAGCGGACTGTCCAGCTGAACGACTAGCAGGGATTCAACGAATTTGCGACTATGTTACTAGTGTAGCTGAACGCGTATCATACAGTGTTCGTTACCAGTCAGAACGCGTGAGCCAAACCACTGCATCAAGTACTCATTGGATCACAAACACAAGCATTTGTGATTCGTGGCTGCGACATGGCTATGAGCTATTACACATTGACTGGAAGGGTACAGGACCTGAGCGAGATATAAAAGAGAATGACATCGTCGCAATCGCGGATACACTCTTACAGATGTCGCCTCAATTCATCAACCTCAATCTTACGAACATTGTCCTGCGGAGTTACAACAAACCTCTCGTGGATGTTGATCAATCCCAACACAATTCATGCGAGCATTGTAAACAAGACGAAGGTGTACCTCACCATGTTTGTATTGATGTGCAGCGACCTATTACTCCCAAAGAGCTCATGGTGGCTTTCGCATGTGTTCAGTTAGCTCGCAACACGAGCGAAACAGAACTTGCTACACGCATATCAGAAATGGATAGCTCCAATTTTGGCCTTCTCGAAAGATTGTCGACCAAAAAAGGCGTTGAAGAAGGCTCCCGAGTCGACTATGAAACGTTGTTAGGGGGTTATAGCATCGGGAACATCAATCATTTGGTTGGCTATTCGTTGCAAAGACTGCCAACTAATTGCTTTCTTCTCTTCTCAATATGTCATCTCACAAACTCTACTATTCGCAGCAATGAATTGGAAATGGTGGTGAGAGGATTCCGTGCTCTTCTTCCAGAGACGTCGAGGCTGCAGGCGGTGATGCACAACTGGGGGAATCAATCTCCAGATATTCAACAACCATTTTCATTGACGATCAGTCGCAGAACCGAATACCTGGGTAAGGTTTCCCTGTTAGTGATCCCCCATTACTCGAAGTATGAATCTGACGTGCTTTATAGAGTGTCTCGCATCTCTAAAATCCCAGGAGGTTCTCGCTCGATTAAATCAAATCCTTCCACCCGCTTCAGGGACTTTCAGTTGGTTGGATACCCATCCGTCATTCCACAGGTGGCAGGATAATGGAGGTACTTTGTGGATCCGTGGTAAGCCGGGGAGTGGTAAATCAACTTTGGCGAAAGACGTCCTCATGAGACTCCGGTCTAAAGAAATACCTTCGGTGATCGGAGCCTGGTTCTACAGCGTCAAGCTTACTTTGGCGCAGCGGTCACACCAATCTCTCTTACAGGCATTACTTGGCAACTTCCTCGAACAGGACGAAGAATTGTTCCGAGAGCATGTCAACATTTATCGGAAAGCGAGACTACCGCCATGTGATTCGTGGAAATGGTCAAGCAATCTTTTGGAACAGTTCTTATGGGCCATAGCACGAACACCGCGAGACTCTACTATCATGGCCGTTATCGACGCATTGGACGAGTCCGAGAACGACGATCATATTGATAAGTCACGGCAACATCTAGCGACGTTCCTTTTGGACCTGGCGGAGCACCCAGAATCATGCATGCGGTTCATCATCCTCAGTCGGCCCTATGAATCCTTACAAATTATGTTTCGCGAGTATTGGAGCAAGAGAATGGGCAGGACTTGAAGGAGGTCATCGACAGAAATTTGGGCTGGCTACGGCGTGCAATCGATCAAAGTCATGACTTTGAAGCACAGAGTATCGAGTCTTCGAAGCCAGACAGCCGCAGAAGGCGAAAACGACCACGAGATGCTGTGTCCACTACCACAACGATACAGCCTGATCCCGCTCTCACTGCATTGGTCGACGACCAGTTTCTAGCTATGAGAGATTATCTGATACAGAACGCGAACGGTGTCTTCTTGTGGGTGACCTTAGTACTCAAGGAGCTGCATCAGATCTCCAAAGATGCATTTTCGGGGATCACGGACCTGAACCAAGCACTTCATTCGCTGCCATCCGAACTCGAAGATCTTTACGCTGCCATAGCTCGCCGTTTGCAGAACCGTGACTTCAAGAAGACTAGGCGGATACTTGATTGGATCATTGGTACTAGCCAATCACGGGCGCTGACGCTGTCGATGTTATCTGAAGCCATGAGCATCGACGAAGAGATCAACGTGGAAGCTTCCATGACACCTACGACAGATCCCTTCTTGGTTCACAAGCCTATAACAAGACAGCAAAGCTGGGGAGTATTCGCATTTGACGTCTACGATCAATGCGGAGGGCTTGTCGATGTTGTACCTCCCGATGAGGCTCGAAAACAATTCCAGGAATATCATGAAGAAGAGATCAATGATCAATGGGTCGCAATCCTAGTGCATCGTACTTCTCTCGACTTCATTGCTTCAACCAGATGCCCCGAGGTCATTAGGACGAATGCGGCGCGCGCTAGATCGGTGGTAGAGGATGGGCTGGTTACATACCTGCAGGTTTATCTGCCAATGAGCGCTGGTCAAGAGCCTTCATTCCATCCCCGATTGGCCATACAAGGAGAATTCGGAACCAGTGTTCTGCCATTCTCTTCACCTTGCGAACCGCTGCAGTCGGGGTTCGACAGAAGTGCCCCTGTACGGTACCACCCAAGCGATCCGATACCTTCCTACTCAGTACGGCCGCAATATCATCCAATGCAAAATATCTTGGGAGACGCCACGCCAACGGAGTTACCAACGAGAGCGACGCCAGCATGGGGTGCCAAATATCGCGGTTGCTATTTGGAAGATCCTGAGCGACCATCGGACACCTTCAACAATGTTCACGATGAGCACTTTTATCAGGGAATTGGCGCTCATCTTGCGGAAGAAGCTAACGAACACCTCAATCTCAAGCTTCGTGGCGTTACACCCGAGACTAGGAGAGCCTTTTCCCGGGCGACGACCAGATGCGTATATCAGCTACTCACGGCATCAGACAAGCCACTATTACAGTATCTCGAGAATCGGCGACTCCTCGAATTCAGTGTGCAGATGCTACATCAGCTTTGGGACATGGGTCAGCACAGGGACAAGCTCAACTCATACAAAAAGATATTTCAGGATCGGAGAACCAAGAAGACATTCGATATTTTGCATAATGACCTTTTTCAGCCACACCCATGGGAAACACTGCCTATAAGTCCCTTGGAATTCACCGTGCCCGCATGGTTTTGTTGGTTACAAGACATTCCTGGTAATATCCTTGTAGCTGCCTGTGCGCAGAATCAAGAGAATGCGTTGCGTAATATAGTGGCTTTACTCCATCTGAGCCCTCACCTTTGGAGGAATGTTCCCATCGCGAGGGATGGCGCTCTCATGATACTCAACACCACTACCGCGTCGATGGGAGGACTGGAAGAGAACCCGGGATGTATGAAAATTCTCCGTGCACTTCCCACTATCACAACTACATGGAGACCTGGTAACGAAGCTTTCCAGCGAAATCCATCGGAAGTTTCCTCGGCAGAAGCAACATACTACAGGCCCTCTAGTTCTGTACTCTCCAGTAATGCGAGCCTGTCGGAATTTTTTGAATCAAACGAATATCTCAGCTTTTACGAGTTGGATTCACGATAAAACAGGCCCTCCGCCTACCTGCCGGTCACGAGGGGCTTAACTGATGGTCTCGGACCTATGCGAGCCTGTATAGTCCGTATTCCTAAGGCAATGCAGCCACAATCTCGTTACGTAGCTCTGTGCAGTCACCATCACAAGATAAACGAAGCAAACTTAGTGGGATATTACAAAAGCTATGAAATTCTATTCTTGTAGCAAAGCTCATAGCCATCGCCCAGCTCCGTACGTGCATCACTACCAATCAATCCCCTACTACCCACCTAAACCAACCCCACTAACCCCTCATTCAACCTCGCCAACCTCCCCCTAACCTTCTCTACCCTCTCTCCCACCACACTCGCCCCTCCCTTCTCCTTCTCCTTCCCCTCAACCTCTCCCTTCTCCTCCACAACCCCCTTCCTCTCCGCCTTCTCCGCCTTCTCCTTCTTCTCCCACCTCCTCTTCCACATCCCCCTATAATTCACAACGCACTGCCTAACCCAAACCCTCCACCACACCTCCTCCGCCCACCTTACAAGCACCCCATCCGTTGCACCAGCATACTGCGCATCTGTCCATGCCATCGTGAAGTCCTTGTCGCGCGGCACGGTGGCGAGGAAGGGAGTGCCGGTGGAGGGGCAGAAGAGTGTCCAGCGGAAGAGACAGAGCAGTTTGGCTGTGGCGGACATGTTGGGTGGAGGTGGGGAGGCGGAGAATGGGAGGGGTGGTGTGTAAGGGAGGGCGTCGACGTGGAGGGCTGGGTTTGGGGAGGTGGTGGTTGATAGAGATGGGGAGAGGGGAGATGGGACTGGGCTGGTTGGAGAAGTCGGCGAGTGGTCGATGGATAAGCTCGGTGTGAGTGGTGGTGTCAACGGCGGTGTTAGCTCGCCTGTAGCTGTGGGTTCGAGATCGGGTGTCTGCGGCTGTGCATGCTTGATGATGATGATTGGAACGGGTACCTCGCTACTCCATCCATTCTTACCAGTTGGAATGGCTTGGGTGATAAGCTCGCGCAATCTCTGCTCTTCGCGCTCTTTGACCCATGCGGCGCGCTTGGTGTAGTATTCGGTTGCGATGTGCGGGAACATGGTGAAGACTTTGTTGCGGACAGCTGCTCTGGTGCGGGTTTGCCATACTGAGAGGTCTTGATCGACGTGCTCGATGGCTTTGCTGTCATCCTCTTCTGGGTCTGTAATGTGCTGGATGTGGCGGTAGCCAGGGTAATGCCGCGGAACCCATTCTTTGATGAAGTGTGTCCAGTACGGTGCGCGGTCTTCGAGGCGATCGTGGTACTTTTCCTCGGTCAGTCGTGCGGCGAAGTGACCTGGGTGGAAGAGCCAGGAGCTAGCCAAGTACTTGTAGACTGAATACAACATCAGCAAAAGTCACAAACCAGCGCAGATCAACAACTTACTCTCCTCCTTAGTCTTGAATCCCCCATTCAAGATCCTCCAATCCAACCCCACAATCCGCAGCGCATCTTTCGGATCCTTGCTAACCCACACCATGCTACCAGGAAAATTCGTCTCTTCCATCTCTTCAACACGAACGTGTATACCCTCAGGATCCATGGTAAGACCCAGAGGCTTAACCATACTGCCGGTCATCTTGCTGTTGCTTGCGTAGTTGAGCTCGAAGTGACCAGTGGAACAACTCCGGCTTGAAGCAGACCTTGACGTCAATCTGGATGAAGTAGTTCTCTTCGCCGTGGGGCGAGTCGATGGCGAAGTACATGCAGTCTCTGGTGAGAAAGCCTTGGCGCCCATGTATGGTATCGAGGACGTCTTTGATAAGGGAGACGGTGCTTTGCCAGGGGAATGTGTCGAGTGTGGTGGTGCCTTCGGAGTGGAGAGGGGAGCAGACTAGGAAGTCGACGTCGCCGTAGTCATCCTGTGGGTGTCAGCAGGTGAGCAGCGTGGTGGATGTATAGTCATACCTTGCCGGGCATCTCAGTCGGTACCACGACTTGCGCGAAGACAGTCTGCAGCGCGGCTTTCGTCTCTGCTTTGACCCTCTCGTAGACCGATGGGGAGATGCGGGGACAATACAGTCCTTTGAAGGCATGGCCGCCCATCTCGTGCAACGATCGAGGGGAAGACAGTTGTCAGTGTTAGTCGACCTCTTACTGAATGATGAAAGCGTCTGATTCGAAATAAACGATGAGAAGACGATGGATGTTTAGAAGATCAAGAAGCTGCACTTCACTTTGTATTGCTCTAGCGTGCTGCAGGATGGAGTAAAGGTAAGAACAGCTGAGCGGTGCCAATTGCGGTAAGAGAGTATCAGACGACATGGCAAGTGCCCAGCGGAACAAACATGGCAACTGTGTACGCGAACTTGATCCCATCGAACGTCACCTTTACCTGGAGGCATCGAATCGTGCCAGTGTTACATCAAGCAACCGATCGCCATAAACGTGTTGTTGTGTCTCGATCCTCTTGGAAAAGAACAAGACTACACCAGACTGTACGGGCATAAGCGCGCAACGGATTCCGTAGACAATGATCCTCGTGAGATGTACTGCTCTATGCTGTGACTTGCAAGCCAGAGGTAGTACCTGATGGAAGCACTCACCAAGATCTGGTAAGATTGCTGTACTGCATTCACATCGTCCTTAGGCTTGTTAACATATGAGAGTGCGCCTTGCCTGCAGCCTTGCAGCCTACCTCCCCATACTCTTCTGCGTCGCATACTTGTGGCGTTCAAAAAACGATTGGGCGAGGCTGCTCTATGTCACCCTCACCATCACCGCTCCTGCGGCGCAGCAGTGCCACAAGCGCTAAGCCTGAACACATATCAACATCGCACTCACCACCACCCCGTCTTCAATCAACTACCACCGAAGCAGCTGTCAACATGGCGATGGCACGACTCCAAGCGATCCTCGCCTGCTTCCCCTGCGGCACCGAGGAGCCGGAGCACACCACTTACCCGGACGAGAAAGTCGCTCTGCTCGCCAACTACGACGATAACCCACGTACTGCCGATGAGGTCGCGGATGAGGTCATAGATGAGATCGCAGACTCCGTCGTCGAAAAACTCCTCACCACCCGCCTCACCGGCGCCCACCTGCGCATGCACCTAGACGCCCTCGTCGGCCCCTCCGGCTGGCGCACCACGCTCGCCCAACACATCCTCTCGCGCCTCACCACCGCTCTCCGCGCGTCGCACGAAGAACTCGGTCCCACCATCTCCACCGCCTGCGACACCGCGTGGGAAGCCGCCCAAAGCATCGAGGGCTTCGTCATCGAGCACCCGGTCATGTGCACCGTCATTGCCCTGGGCGTCCTCGCTATCGTCGCGCCGTGGGTGTTGGAAGCGCTTGGTTTTGCTGAACTGGGGCCGGTTGAAGGTACGTGTAGTATGATAGTATGAGAGTACGAATGTTAGAATGTTAGGCCCTTCGTTTCCAGCGAGCTGGGAATGAGGGGATGGAGATGTGACAGTACGTTCCGTGGAACTCGACAAAAAGCAAAACACCTTTGGGATATTTCGTGACCAAAGAAAAGCGGTTGGAAGGAAAAGACACGGAAATGTCAAGCGAATTGAACGGGAATAAACTGATCCGACTTGGAATAAAGCGCTAACACAATGACTGTATGCAGGTACCTTCGCCTCATGGTGGCAGTCCACCTACGCCGGCCTCGTACCAAAGTCCTCGCTATTTTCCTTCTTCCAGCGGTTAGGTATGACCAAGTGGCACTGGGTGCTCGTCTAATCCATAACTCTGCTATTCATGGTACGGATGAGGGGTTCGTCAGCTTCGGTTCGCTCCTTCCTTTCTCGTCTCGTCTCGTGTCCTCCTATCGATGCGAACAGACCACTCCAGGGCTATTGTGATAAACGAGATCAAGGAAGCAGGAAGCGGGCTGCGGGGAAAGCACCAGAAGAAGCGGCAGATGACGCAGTTGGTATAGGTCGAAGGATTTGAGGAGATTGGGATGTCGCTCGCGTATCTGGCATGATGATGCATGCGCGTGTTGGATTGACATGGTTGGCATTGTGCTGTCTGCTATCGTCAGGCGTGGTAGTATCATCACGTGTCCGAAGTAAGCCTTAGGCTTTAGTATTTCTTAACTACACGCTAGTAAATAGGTATAGTATACCTAAGAATAGGTATAGGTTAGGTTAGAGTTTAACTTTAACCTAACCTTTACCTACACTATTCTTTTTAGCGTAAGTTAAAGTTAGGTTAAAGCTTACTAGTACTAAGTTAAGATTAGGTTATAATAAATAGAGCTAAGTATAAGCTAGGTTAGAGTTAAGTTAAAATAATTCTTTTATATTATTATAGTATTTTATTATAGTTATATAGTATATAGGCTATAAATAGTAAAAATTACTATATTATATTATTATAGTGCTTTATTATAGTTACGCAATATATAAGCTAACTAAAACTTATTATATTATTCTTATTAAAATAATAAAAGTTAGTAATATAAAGTTACTTTAAAGTATAGTACTTATTAAGAGATAAAGACTTTTTTTATTTAGCTCTATTATCTATATTAAAGTCTATATTCTTTTTATATATATAAGACTTCTTTCTAAATACTAGAAGTAATAAATTAAAAAGCTATTTAAGAAGTAGATTACTAATAATATTCTTCTCTCTATATATACTTATATTATTCTTCTAACTAATAGTATTCTTAAGAAATATAACTTTCTATAGTGTTATAAGTAGAAGATAATATCTTTTATTACTAACTATTATTAGGTTCTAGCTCTAAAGAGTCTAGGCTAACTTAGTATTAGCTATAAATATCTTAGAATTACTATTATAGCTTAGTAGTAATTTATCTCTAGTCTTTTTAGAATAATATATCTAATTATAGTCTAATATTATATATCTAGTATTTAACTAACTCTATTATTTAATATTTAAATTACTCTACTCTATAATACTCTTATATACGCTATTTAGATATAATAAGCTCTAAAGTAGATTCTTCTAGTATAATATAATATAGTAGTAAGTAAGCTATACTATTCTTACGTATAATAAATAATAACTAGAAAAAATTAGCTTCTATATCTTTAAAGGTAGTAATACTACTTACTAAAGAACTTATAGACTTATTAGAAGCCTTTTTAGATATTACTAACTTAGCCTTAATTATTAGAGATAGTAATATACTATTAGAGTTTATTTTAGAGCTAACTAGACTTTTATAAGCTACTACTACTAAAAGTAAAAATAAATAAGCTACCTTAACTTATAAACTTAAGAAGTTACGTAAGTAGAAATAATTAGAGCGTACTTATTAAGATATAGTCTATTTTAGAGAATTAAAGTATAAAATACTTATAAATAACTACTTAGCTTTTAAAGTAGATATTATCTACTATACTTTAACTATAAGAAGTAAGTTCTAGTTAAATTTAGAAGCTTTATACTTTAAGAACTTAGAGATATTTACTATATATAATTACTTATAGTATAACTACTAAGTACGTAATTATAAGGCTATTTTTAGAAAGGTACTTTTTACCTTTCTAATAAGTATCTAAAAGGTAGACTTTACTATAAAATTTCTTAATAAAACTACTTACTTTACTTAGAATATCTACTTTTAGAACTATATAAGGCTTAAGGCGTCTTAGATACTTATTTAAAAAAAACTTAAAGTAGTTATACTTAATATACTTAGTTCTAAGTTATTATAGTACTTTATAGTTTATAATAAACTTAAGTAGACTAAATAAAAGCTAGATTAGAATTCTAACTCTTTTTTAGTCTATCTTAATATACTTTAAAGTAAACTAAATAACTATCTAGAAAAGTAGTGCTATATAGACTTTATAAGTACTCTTCTTTTTAATATTTAGAAAGAACTTCTACTTTAAGACTAAAAAGACTATAATATAGTTTTTAAGCTTAATACTTTAGCTTACTACTATTAGAGTAAGATAAAGTATACTACTATACTTTCTAAATATCTAGCTTATAAAAAGAAGTTTTATAGCTATTAGGCCTAAAAATCTTTTTTAGAGCTTTTTTAAACTTAGAAAAAAGCTAAGAAAGCTAGTTTAGTAAAATCTAACTTATAACTAGCTAAATTAGACTAAAATAGTTTAAAAAACTCTAATATAATTTATTAAAAGTATAATAAAACTAAATACTTTTAAAGAAACTATTTAAAGTCTAAAAGAAACTCTAAAAGCTTATCTAGTTAAGAATTAGAAAAAGGTAGTAGGTAGAGAAGCTAGAGTTCTTCTTAGCTACCTATATTACTCTAGACCTAGTATTTTAGAACTTAGAACTTTTTTATAATATACTTTACCTAAAGCTAGTAAAGCTACTAATAGTAAAGGTATTACTTAGCTAATTAGAGTTTATTAAGGCTTTAGTAGATAGAAGTTTCTAGTTAAATCTTATTTTAGTATTACTTATAGTAAAGTAAAGCTTATTAGTTTACTCTTTATTTAAGCTTTTAGTAGATAGAGTAAATAGTAAAGAATTAAAAATTTATAGTACTACTATAGTAACTATAAAAGTAGTAGATTCTTATAAAAAATAAAAAATCTAGAATATTCTATATATTATTATAAAGGTCTATAAGTATTAGATATACTTAAGTCTACTCTAGATAAACGCGTATTATCTAAAGATTAGCTACTCTATATAAAAACTACTCTTTTAGAGTACTAAGTCTAAGAATAGAACTATTTATAGAAAGATTATACTAGAAAAGACTAAAAAGTTTAAAAAAACTATACGCAATTCTATAGTAGATATATATAGCTATTTTATTACCTTAATACTTTAGTTTAGTTTAGAAGAAGCTAAAGAAAGTAGTTTATCTCTATAATACGCTAAGTTTATATATCTTAGATTAGAAAATAACTTAAGAGTTTTTACTAACTATAGTTTATAAAACTTAGCTATTAACTTACTATCTAGAACTATAGCGCTCTACTAGCTATTATATAACTTTTTTAAAATAGAGTTAGAGCTTTTATATAAGTATTTAAATAAATACTTAGTATAAGAGTAGATTAGATATAGTAAGTCTCTAGTAGAGGCGCCTATACTCTTTACTAAGAAGAAAGATAGTAGTATATACTTATATATTAACTATAGAGGCCTTAATAAAGTTACTATTAAGAATTAGTACTTTTTACTACTTATTATAAAGTCTCTAGAAAGATTAGCTAGCGCTAAATTTTATACTAAACTTAATATAAAAGAAGCTTACTATAGAGTATATAGTAAGAAGAGTAATAAGTAGAAAACTACTTTCTATATAAGATATAGTAGTTTTAAGTATACTATAATACTTTTTAGCTTTATAAATACTTCTATGTAGTTCTAGACTTATATCTATTAAGTTCTTATAGAATTAATTAATATAACCTATATTATATACTTAGATAATATTTTTATTTTCTCTAATACTAAAGAAAAGTATAAAAGCTATATTAATAAAGTC